AAAAAACAATTTCTTCTCTCACTTCCCTAAATGAAAGCTAGATTTAGGGGGATACATTACTTGAATTTTTTTTTTCCCTTTCAAATAAAGTCATTTGATATACATATAAAAATATATTACTTGGGTTTCCTTTCAGTTATAGATCATACAAGGGCTGGGATGGAGAAAAGAATGGAAGACAAGCACAAGGACTTCCAAAAAAAAGGAAAAAACAGTGATTTTAAGCATGTGGTGCACTTTGAATTTATAGTGCAACAGCAAGCTAAGAAATCCATGTTCTGCCGACACAAGCATGGCATTACTCATACTTTTATCACTTTTTCTGAACTGCATGGCACGTGTTCTTGCTCCCAAAAGGGTCACATTTCAATAAGACATTACAGCACCAAAATCAAAAAAGGCTGAACTTCAAAAATCTGGAAATCAAGTTTCTGGACCTCAGAAGCAGGTTGCAGCTGGATGATTGGGTTCTCTCCTCTTTCACCCCGGAGGCTCACTGACTTCGACATCAGAAAACATTAGGGACAAGGAGAACACAGCAAGGTTTGGCAATGTTTCTGCTGGCAGCAGGACACCTCGCAGAGCACTGGATCTCTCAACTCCTATCCCAGGGAGGAAGATGAAGAATACAGACAGCAGAAAGGTGGGATTCCAGAGTAACCCAGAGCGCTTCTGTCTCACTGAAACAGCTTATAATGGCAAAGAGTAATCCAGGGAGGGATCAAGCTGCAGCGTGTCACCATGCAGAGAGGGATGGTGGAACATCCTGCAACGGGAGAGGAGCAGAGACCCTACCCAGGACCTCACACAGAGGCCTGACAGCTCAGCTTAGAATCAGCCCCAGTGTCAAGAGAAAAATCCACATCAAAGGCCACAAATTTACCCGAGAGCCGAAATTTAGCCCTTCCAAGTCCATAGCTGTAGGAAACAAACTGCACATTCACTCAAAACACCGATCAAATATTTCTCACGGACGCAGCCAGGCATGTGGGTGTAGGCAACGACTTTGATACAACTCCAAGCTCGGCTGCCTGGCAGCTCTGCTCGCACTCCCACGTCTCCCGTACCATTTCCCACCCACCCTGTGACAGTCAGTCCCAGTTAAAAAATTTTTGATTCATAGCTGCTCTTTTCCCCAACTGCAGCTCAGCAAAGCCACCAACCTCTGCCGAGATCTGTCCCCCAGACAGAAGGAATGAGCCACAGCAAGTACATGTTTCATATTGGCATCGGTTTTGGCAATTACCACTGGGATGCAAAAGAACATTTAATAAATAAATAAGTAAACAAGTAAGTAAATCAACAACACTTCTGAACAGTCACCAAAAAGAACCCTTAAAAATCAAAACAGGATACGGTACAATTGAAGTTTTCTATACCAAACCTCAAATCTCTCTCACAGTTGCGGTCTTCCCCTCCTCTTTTAAAGCAGGGTCTCTTCAGGAAATCAGGTTTATGTGATCACAGTGTCTGTGCCCATGGCTGTCCGTCCTCCTCTATTAATTTCTAGAGTTGCCCAATTTAAATCGAATCTGAGAAAGTGACAGAAGTATAAAAAGCTTCTACGAGCTTCAAGAAAATAGGAGAAAAGAATGAGTTGAGGGGGAAAAGACCGCAGCATGAGTTCCCAAGTCATCAGGGATCAGCGAAATCCCAAGGCAAACCCCAACTTTGGAGTGGTTGCAGAGCTCGCCTGGAGTCACAAGGCATGAAATCCACGGGAAACGGGCTTGATTTGCAGTGGAGCTCCTAAAGTAACTCACTTTTGGAAATAGGCCTCCACCATGCTACTGCCCTACCCTCTCAGCTGCTGGCACTGCTCACGGAGCTGCCCGGCAATCAGGAGAGCTAACCCGATTCAAGGCTGTACCCACACAGTGCCGGTACTATTGCTGGCACCTTCTGCCCCTCTCACCAGAAATTTAACCTTCAAATAGCGTGGTCAAATATCCCACAAGGCTTTAAAAACGAACTACAGGGGAGAGACAGAGAGGGGAAGACGGACAGACAGACTAGCCTTAACATCAGCTGTAGGAGCCATCCCATAACATCAGGTAATGGGGTAAACAGGGAAGCAGAAGGCAATGGCAAATGGAAGCCACACCGGGCAATACACTGAAGGGCAGGTACCGAAGCCACGACACAGTGCTTGCACTTGGCGTTCCCCCTTACAGAGGCAGGTCAGTGCTGTTATGTCGAGTTTTCCGCGAAGTCCCATCATCTCTCGGCAGGGCCCTTTGCAAACTGGACATGGCCGCTGTCTTTTTTAGGTCAATGACCGCGTAGGAGTCCGTCCGGCGGGCTTCGTGGGTGGCAGGAGGTGGGACACAGGGGACCGGTGGGTTCTGATGTCCCTTGCACGGCTCAGCCTCCAGCTCTACCTGGATGTAGTTGAGTTGCCGCGGCTGCTCTGGACAGGGCCGGGGGAAGTCGAAGCTGAAGACGCTGGGCATGCAGCCGCGACGAGGCTTTGGCAGGAAGCTGCTGCGCCGCTGGCCGCTGCCCCCGTGCAGCGCAGTGTTCTCCGAGTTCATGTAGTTCTGCAGGGGATCTTCTTCACCAGCCTCAGAGTAGCCGTTGGGGGAAGGCGTCAGCACATCCCCGGCGCCCGCGTCCTCCTCGCCCTGCCGGAGCGGCTGGCACTCCCACACCGGGGGCAGCGACGGCAAGTTCTCATAGTGCAGCAACGCCGTTCTGCGATGGGAGCAGCCGGGTAAGCCCGCGTCCTCCCGGGTGAGTTTCAAGCGCCCGCCTCGACAGAGAGAGGAGGTGCTGGGGGGCAGCAAGCCGTTGACGTTCTCGTAGACGCAGTGGGGTGAAGGGCACTCCTCCTCGCACTCGTTGTTGTTGTTGGGGGGGCAGAAGTGCGTCCTGCACTCCCGGTGGTGCCGACAGACGCGTCTGCAGTTGGATGTGGGACCTAACACGAACTTAACCTCCCCTGGCTGCAGAAAGACCTGGGGATTGCGGTCTTCGAGGGAGCAGCTGTGGTTCCTATGGGGGAAAGGAGGGTGGACTTCAGGCAAGGAGTGCATACAATGTCGGCCTCTCAGCTCCTGATCACCATTGGCCGTGTTGACGTAGGTGTGGGACTGCAAGGAGAGAAGCAGAGGGACAGTGAAAGGAGAAGAGAAGAGACAAGAGCAAAGCAGCTGCCAGCAGCTGAGAAACCAACAGGAATGGAAAATTCTTCGGTGGCTGATGACGCAGGAGGAAATGAAAGAATTTCAGAATTTGAAAATACTTTGGGAAGCCAAACACAAAAGCCATTTCTGGATTTGTGGGCTGAAGGAGAGACAAAAAGGAAGTCCACATCATGTACTTCACAGTCGATGCATACGGCACAGAACAACAAGCAAAGCCACTTGCAAAATATTTCCTTGGGTGGCTTACACTGGCGATATTGCAGCACTCACACCTACCTAGGCTTCTCTGATAATGGTTGAACAAGCTGGATTTTGTAGGGAAAAACCTTAAACTCTAAAACTGAGAACAAAGAGCTGAACATCAAAAATAAAAATAAAAAGAGTCTGAACTTTATGCATCTGCACATCAGTTTAGGGGTTGCAGTAATAGCTGACAGATAGGGCAGTATGACTTGGACTCTCAAGCTAAGTGCTGCTGTTAAATAATTGCCACGCAAATACTAGCGGATCAAGGAAGCCAACTCAGTCGGCCTTGATAGAGTGCCTGTTCTAGTGAAGTGTCAGAGAGCAGAAATCTCCAAGAACAAAATGAAGCAAAAGAGGGAAAAAAAGGATGACAAGGTATGAAGATCCCCTGAGTTTTGCTGGAGTAAGAGAAACTCAGAATTGCACAAGACTGCTAGCAAAACAAGCTGCCTGTTCATTGCTTGCAAACAGCAGAATTCAGGACATCTAGGTTTACCTGCTCATCAGGCCCAATAAGAGCATGAGTAGAGTCTTCACCCACAGAGGAATGCCTCAGGCTGCTCACGGAGGGGTGGCGGGCTGCCGAGTATGATAGGGTTTCTCCAGGGAAGCTGTGAAATCCATTGGGAAATCCTGGGACAGTGTACCCCAGGCCTGGGAGAGAATCAAGACAGATAAGCATTAGAGCATTGGTTTGGTACAAAATAGAGTTGACTTCATTTTCACAGTGAGCTGGCCTCTTAACGGCACCCTGTAAGTCAGAATCAGCCTGTCTGGGGAAGATCGCTACCATGAAGTACCTAGTATAAATAAAAGGGCTAGGCCCTTTTGTGTAAATTTATTCAAGTCACTCCTAATGGAGACAGTTATTGGGCAAACCCAAATTCTTCCAGATGTGGTTTCCTCTAGGAACCACCTGATCCTTGTAGATGCTACTTAAAAAGGCCACTTGGCAGCAGTCCAGGTGAAAACCAACTGAAGGGTGACAACTCGGTTGACTATTTGAAGGGCTTTTTGTTGCCGTTTCCTTGGAAACAAAATACCACATGGCAGACAAGGCAGGCCTTAAAATAAACATGCTGCATGGGGCACACGTGGACATAAAGATATGGGTCAGCAGCGAGGCAGGGCATGGGAGAGATCCATGGGCTGCAAAGGGCAGTTTCACGCAAGCATAGAATCATAGAATCATAGAATCATTAAGGTTGGAAAAGACCTCTAAGATCATCGAGTCCAACCGTCAACCCAACACCACCATGCCCACTAAACCATGTCCCTAAGCGCCTCATCTACACGTCTTTTACATACCCCCAGGGATGGTGACT